TTCAACCCCTGCCCTATCCCAAAGGTCACTTTGCTGGCTTACGTTTCTATGTGTGTGTGACCTCTAGGAAAACCAATAATTTGTTTAATTTTTTATAAAAAAGTATTTACGACTGAGTTGGAAATCGGACTATGTTCATTTTTTTGCTTTCATTCATTCATTCATTCATTCATTCAATCAATCATTCACTCATTCACTCATTCATTCATTCGGAGGTTCATTCATCTTTAAATTTTACACACGCACACACACACACGCACGCACACACGTACGCACACATACACACACATTAACACGACAACAGACCAGCCAGTCTGGGAGGCGGTGCGAGCCACCGGGGCAGCCCCCACCTACTTTCGGGCCAGCGGACGATTCATCGACGGGGGCATCGTGGCCAACAATCCGACCCTGGACGTCCTAACTGAGATCCACAAATACAACCTCGCCAATAGAAAATTAGTTTTTTCGCTGCTCGCTTCTTACATTTCATGTACACCTATCCCCAGATTTACACGATGGATACGTTCCTGAGAAAAACGTATAAATCGAAAATTAAAATTTTCAAGTCAAAACCGGGTAAATCGAAAGGCTTGCAGAAAATGCATAATTTTGCTATTTGTGATTTTTTTCAATATTTTTAGGTGTACACAGAAATAAAAATAAAATGCATTGACAGGTTAAAATATGTAATATATTACGGAAACACTGTATTTTTATTTAATTATAATACAATACATTAAACAGAAGAACAAAAAATAAAACCAAAGGTGTTTTATTATCATTCATCACTGTCAGAAATTACTTCCATTCTTTTTTTCGGAATTGAAGGTTCGAATTCACTTTCATCACTCGAAGTTATTTGTGCCGATCCGATGTTTGAAGCAGAAATATTTTCATTATAAGAGAGGGTAATAAAATCGGTTATTAACAATTGCTTCGAATTTTTTGTAAGATTTTTGTAAACTTCTTCATATTGGGCCAAGCAGGCACGTGTTCAATCACAGTAGCATTTAGTAGAGTGCGATAAAAAGAAAAAAAAACTTATTTGGAAAACCGTGTAAAAGCGAAAATGTGTAAAACAAGTGCCGCGTAGATCGGGGGGGGGATAGGTATATTTTCTACAATCGCATGCAGTCAATATGTACCTGTGCAATGAACTGATTTTGTTTATTCGCCTGTTTTTCATACTATTATTATATTATTATTGTGATTATTATTGTTATTATTATTGTAATTATTATTATTATTGTTATTATTATTATTACACACAGGGGAGTACAAAGGGTCTTCCGCAAATGCACGTGGTGGTTTCAGTGGGCACGGGCAGTCCACCCGTCAAGTTCATCGAGGAGTGTGACGTCTACCGACCCGAGGGCATCATGGAGTTCGCAAAAGTTTTCTACGGTGCCAAGAATCTCGGAGAGCTTTTGATTAATCAAGTTAGTTGGGTCCTCGTTCTGTTGTTTGTTTGTTTGATTGATTGATTGATTGATTGATTGGTTGATTGATTGATTGATTGATTGATTGATTGATTGATTGATTGATTGATTGATTGATTGATTGATTGATTGATTGATTGATTGATTGATTGATTGATTGATTGATTGATTGATTGATTGATTGATTGATTGATTGATTGATTGATTGATTGATTGATTGATTGATTGATTGGTTGATTGATTGATTGATTGATTGATTTATTGATTGATTGATTTATTGATTGATTGATCAATCAAACAAAAGACCACCGAATCAGACGGCCAGTCAGTGAGTAGGGCGGCAGCCTGGTGCAACATGATCAACGTCCCATTCTTCCGGTTCAGTCCTCAGCTGTCTGATCTTATCCCTCTCGACTGCTCTGACAACATCACTCTCATCAACATGCTCTGGGAGACTCAGTGCTACCTCCACTCACGTCACGAAAAATTAGTTCAGTTAGGAAAGTTGCTTCTCTGATGAATTGAATGATTGATTTAATGATTGATTAGTGATTGATCGGTTAGTGATTGATTGATTAAGGATTGATTGATTATTGATTTATTGGTTAAGGATTGATTGATTACGATTGATTGATTAATGATTGATTGATTAATGATTGATTGATTAATGATTGATTGATTAATGATTGATTGATTGATTAATGATTGATTGATTAATGATTGATTGATTAATGATTGATTGATTAATGATTGATTGATTAACTTGATTAATGATTTAATTAGTTACTTGGCTAGAATTGAGATAAATTATTACCAAGGCATGTAATAGTAAAAAGTAATATTCATATAAAAACTATAAAAATAATATTAATAATATTTTTATTATTATTATTAAAAGTGTTTATAATCTAATTGATGTTACTAATATTAATAATGAAAATACTAATGATGATATTATTAACGGTAACATAATAATAATAATAATTTGTTTCAATTTTATTATCATTTTTATTATTATAAAATAGTAATTATTATAGTGTAAATACTTTATTGACATTGCTTATTGTTGGAGTCGTTGAAACTCATTGTCGTTATACAAAGCTTTGTTCTATAGTTTTTTACCAAGTTTAATTTTTATTTGAAAGATTTTTTAAGGTTTGTTAATAGTATCTTTTTTCAGTTTAATTTTCCTACCAGGCTCGTATTTACTTAACATTTTTGGTTTTTCTTTATAGTTCAAATCTTGTAGTGTAGTAGATTTTTCGATAACTTCCACTGGCCCGTTATAAGCTTAAACTTTCTATACTTTCTCATTTCCAATGACTGTGCATGAATTAATTAACAGAATTAATTATATTAATCATATAAATTAACAATTAAGTTATTAAAAAAGTAAAATGCTTTGGCAATTAAATTAAAAATTTTTTTGTAAATGCGGTCAAAATCAATGAGCTAAATCGGAATAGCCTAAACACGCTAAATAGATTAAAAATAGGTCATTCCAAGATAACCCATTCATGGATATTAACCAAAACAAGCTTTTCACTTTGTGAGAAGTGTGATGCAAAACTTACAATCCAACACACATCAATAGAATGTCAAACGTATTATGAAAACATGAAAAAATACCAAATTCTAGAAGATATACACTCAATTTTTAAAAAGGAAAACACCTAAGCCTAAACAAGCCTAAACATAGAAATAAACATTTTCATCAACATCTATAATTGCCCAACTCATGAAGAGATTTACCACCAAGACTAGAGACGTAAAGATAGTCTATCAGAGCTAACGCTCCGTAAAACTGTAGAAGAAGGAGTAATTTGCAGAATTAGCTTCACTTGTTGAAAAACGAGGTAAGTCAGTGTTAGTACTATCATTCTCATGTTTAAGCCGCAGCTTCAAATGTTACAGCTGTAGCCTTATTATAGAACTGTAGAGATAGAATTACAGTTGTACATAATATACGGGAGCCTTGATTACTTACGAGTTATTTTTTTCTCCAATTCGTGTTAGAATACGTGATGAAATAATTAAATATTTGTAATGATAATTTTTTTTATCGGAATCCTTATGGACATGATTGCGAATCTAGAAACATGTAAATATAATAAATGAAATATAAAAATAAATTTGTGGTTGGATGTTGGCTGTACGTGGGTTTGTCAATGAAGTTTAAGCCAAAAATTATATTGAATATTTCATTACTAACATGGGATGTTTGATAATATTGTGAAATTTTTTTTATGAAACAAACACACCTTGCCTTCAGCCTTACAGTTATTAATTAATCATTTAACCATAACCTTAATCAATTAAGTAATTACGTATATAGGTTAATTAGTTCGGAATATTGTTTTCTCAAGTTCGTTAGTGTGTTCATTATTCCATCCACTGCTTCATTATAAATAAGACTGTTTGCTACCCACTTAAGTGTTTGATTATAAAATATTCCAGTGGTGCTTTTTTGTGAAAATTTATTAATTTTTTTATAAATTTTTTTGTTAGCAACAATTTTGAGGGGCACAAATGTTGAATCTGCTGAAAATAAGCAAGATTGATTCTATTATTTTTTTTGGAGAATATGTAAGATTCGTTGTATGCCTATCCATACATCATACGGTTTACATTACAGAACTTAAATAAAGTGGAATTTGTTGATTCTTTTTACGCTGAATTTAATGACATTTGTTATATTTTTTCATGACATAATTGTTCGCAGATATGCTGAGTGTGAATATTTTACATTTTTTTGTATTATATGTATATATATTATATATATATACATCTGAACCATTCCAAAATTTTTTCAAATTATCACATAAAAACACATTAAATTTTAATCAAATTCTTCTTTTTTTTTAAAATGTTAGTCGTATGTAACTTACGCTATCATAATCGACTTAAAACGACCTGAATGAT